GCAACGGGATGCGTGGGGGCGAGGGCCCCGGGGGCAGCACAGCCTACGTAGTGTGCGGGGTCATCAGCTTCGCCCTGGCCGTAGGCGTCGGAGCCAAAGTCGCCTTCAGCAAGGCGTCCCGGGCGCCCCGGGCGCCCCGGGATATCAACGTGCCCAGGTGTGTGCGCTCTTCGGCCTGGAGGGGGGTAGAGAACCTGGGGGCGGGGCCTGGGCAATGGCAGGTGGAGCCCCGGGGGGCGGGACTACAGGGGTAGGGGCGTGGTCAGAGACCCAGGAGGCAGCGCCCGGAGAGCCTGCGAAGGCCTGGCTACCCAGTGTTGGGAGGCTCACGCCTCATTCATTCAACAAATACTTGAGCACTTTCTGTGGGCCAGGACCTGGGGATACAGGAGTGAACAAAACGAGGTCCTTGCCCTGATGGGTAAACCTGGCTTCCCATCTCAGGTCTGCTGCCTGTGGGCTGTGTGACCCCCCAGCAATTTGCTTAACCCGTTTGTGCCTCTGTTTCCTGCACAATGGGGCTAATAAATGTCCCTCACCCATTCGGACTGTAAAGGAGATTACCTGGGTTGATTCATGTCGAGTCCTGGCACACGGTAAGCCCTCAATAAATGTTGGCTACCATTATCATAAAAGTTAGTGGCAAAGACGTAAGCAAGCAAACACATATGCAATATACTCTTAGAGGTTGATAAGGCCTCTCTGAGCAGACTCGAAGGAAAGGAGCAAACCAAGCAGGTATCTGTGGGAATGGCATTCCAGACGGGGGGACAGTATGTGCAAAGGCCCTGCGGTGGAGTGTTTGCCGGACAGCGAAGGAGCCAATACAGCTGGAGAGCAGGGGCGAGGAGGAGGTGGCCAGAAGCAGGCAGAGGCCAGGTTTATTCTAGGGTGAAGGGGGAGCCACCGGAGGGTCCTGAGCTCAGGCTGTGCGGTGAGAGAAGACTGCAAGGGACAAGGGCAGAAGCAGGAGACCAGTTAGGAGATGGCAGCAACGATCCAGGTGAGAGATGGTGCTGGTAGCAGCGGAGGGGGTGAGAAGTGGTCTGATTTGGGATGTATTTTGGAGGTCAAATGCGCAAGCCCGCTGAGGAACATGAGGGGGAGAAAGAGAAGCCAAGGGTGATTCTAAGGTTTGGGGCCTGCACAGCTGGGTGAAGGAGCACCCTTTATCTCCGTGGGGAAGGCTGCAAGAGAAACAGGATTGAGCCCCCAGGTCAAGTGTGGCCCCAGGAGCTTTTGGGCGGACAGTGCCCAGATTGCCATTAGCGAGGGGCGTGGCCAAAGGCGAGAGCCCAGCCCAGCTGAGCTGACAGATTACCCCCAAGGTGAGAGCAGGGAGGGGAAAGAAGCCCGGGTCCTCCCTCCCCCATCCCCAGGCCTCAGGCCACTGACCATTCCTCTGCCACCTCCAGGGCTCTGGTGGACATTCTGAGGCATCAGGCGGGACCTGGGACCCGTCCGGACCGGGCACGAAGCAGTTCCTTGACCCCGGGGGTTGGGGGCCCCGACAGTATGGCCCCGAGGACACCCAAGAACCTCTACAACACCATGAAGCCCTCCAATCTCGGTGAGTGGGACCTGGGAGCTGCTCTGACCACGCCCCTCATCCCTGCAGCCCCGCCCCTGGTGGCCCC